ACTCCACGGCACATAACAACAACAAAGAGTTGTTGTGGCACTGTAGGATAAAGCACTGGACCTCATGGTCAGTTTGAACCTCAAGATCAGTGGTTCAAACTCACTACCTGGTCCTGGGAAACCCTGTACAGAATCGCTCTGAGTTGGAACTGACTCGACGGCATTTATCAACAACAACAATTAACCACAAAGTTGGCAGTTCAAACTCACCAGCCACTCATTGGAAACCCTACCTAAGGTTGATATGAGTTGGAAATGAGTTAACAGCACTTAACAACTGTTTGTGGTACAAACAGTTAAGCATTCACCTACTAGCAAAAGTGTGGTGGTTCAAATTCAACCAGAGGCACCTCAGAAGAAACACCCGATGATCTGCTTCTGGTAGCACACAGCCTTGACAACCCCACGGAGCAGGTCTATCCTGCACGATTCTGAACCAACTCAACAGCAACTAACAATATGCCCAGTTTAGATAGTTCATGTAAATGGGATCAAACAATATCTGTCCTTTTGTATCCAGCTTATTTTAATTAGCATAATGTTTTCAAGGTTCATCCATGTTGTATCATATATCAGGACTGTATTCTTTTCATGGCTGAATTATAGTCCACTGTATGTATATAACACATTGTGTTTATCTATTCTTCTGTTGATGGACACTTGGGTTGTTTCTTTTGTTCGGCTGTTGTAAATAATGCTGCAATGAGTATTAGTCTACAAGTATCTGTTTAGTACCTGCTTTCAATGTATTGGGTACATACACTCCTGTTTGGGGTCCACAGTTCAATTTGGCTCAGGTTTGTGCCCCCACATGAGGTATTAGGAAAGACCCTGATACCGATGACAGGAAAAGAAACATCCAGTTTGGAATAAATAAGAATGCTGACACATTATAGAAAAAGTAACCAATGCTGCTAAACAAATTGTTACATGAGAGTCTAGTGTGCCATGCAAACTTTCATCGAAAGTACAATAAAATATTTGTTGTTGTTGTTGTTGTCAGGTGCCATCGAGTCTGAACCGACTCATAGCAACCCCATGCACAGCAGAACGAAACAATGTCTGATCCTGGGCCAACCTCACTGCCGCTGCCACACTTGAGTCCATCAAAGATGCCATCTTATATATTATTTTTTTAAAAAAGAAAAAAGTATACCTTGAGAAGTTTTGTAACAAAAAGGGGGCAGTAGTTAATCTTAAAGTCCAGGAATGGAGAACCCTAGGACCATCAAGGGAGAAGAGCACGAGCAGAATGTGGGACCTTATCCAGAGAAGCAGCAACACCAGAGATGGGGACACTGCTGAGCGGGTTGGAACCAACCTTTTGAACCTTTTGGTTATTACCACCCTCCCCCCCCAACCAAACCTACTGCCAATGAGTTGATTCCGACTCAGAGAAGCAATATAGGGTTTCCAAGGCTGTTAACTCTTTGTTGTTGTTGTTAAGTACCATCAAGTCGGTTCTGATCTATAGCGACCCTGAACAGGGTTTCCGAGGCTGTAAATCTTTATGGGAGCAGAAAGCCTCGTCTGTGACGAGAAGCAGCTGGTGGCTTTGAACTGTCAACCTTGCGGTTAGCAGTCCAGTGCTTAACCTTTTTGTTATTGTTGTTGTTGTTATGTGCTGTGGAGTCAGTTCCGACACATAGTGACCCAGTACAAGGTTTCCGAGGCTGTAAATCTTTATGGGAGCAGAACGCCTCATCTTTCTCTGGCAGAGCAGCTGGTATTTTCGAACTGCTGACCATAAGGTTCACAGCCCGATTCGTAACCACTACACTACCAGAGCTCCTTTGAGATCAAACCTTTTGTATCACTCCAGGTCCCTTCCAGTAGAAGGCCCGGATTTCCTTTCCTTTTCTCCACCTAGCACAGCTGTTGTGTGAGGCTCAAGCTTGACCACTTCCTTTCACTAATGCTGTTGTCATATGCTGTTAAGTCAATTCCAACTCACAGCGACCCTGTATAGGGTTTCTGAGGAGCAGCTGGTGGGTTTGAATTGCCGATCTTTGGTTTACAGTCCAGTGCTGATTCTAGAGCACCTCACCAGGAATGCTTTCACTGGGGCGTCTCAATCCTGAGCCAAGTGCTTCAAGATGGAAAATACAGGAAGACTACACTCCTCCCAGGGGTGCACAAGTGATGTTATGACCAATAAACTCCTGAGATAAGGGTCTTTAAAGCTTCCCTAGACCCTGCCCCTTTCTTCCTTTGATTCTACCAACATACATTGTATTCATCCTTCAAACAAATCCCCATTCTACTTAAATTACCTAGAGCTAGTTTCTCCTGCTTACAACCCAAGACCCTATGTATGGATATCATAACTCTGTCTTTCTATACAAGAGGGCTTCACAAACTTTTTGAAGACCTCTCATAGATGGAAATCTGAGATTCAGATAAAGTAAACAGCCCAGGGCTAACCAGGCAAGGTCAGAACCATGTTTAGAATCCTGCTCTCTGGACTTGACATACAGGATTTGCCTCGATCCTATACAGAAGTTCATTCAACAGTAATTTTCTAGAAAGAAGGAAACAACCTAAATGCCCATCAGTAGACGAATGGATAAACAAAATGTGGTACATATCTGCAAAGGCATATTACTCAGCCATAAGGAGAAATGAAACCCTGATACAAAATGGATCAACCTTGAAAACATTATGTTGAGTGTAAGAAGTCAGTCACAACAAGAAAACCATGGTATGATCTCACATATGTGAAATACCTAGACCAGGCAAAGGTATAACAGAGGCCAAACTTTTACCGGTGGTTACCACGGTGGGAAGAGGGAGAAAGAAAGAGTCATTGTTTAAGAAGCAGCATGCTTCTGGTTATGGGGAGGAAAAAGTGGCAGTGATTATTGGTGGGAGTTGCCAAACATGACTGATGTATTACTTACT